ACACATATGTTCATACATTGTCACATGCATGCATGCAGACAGCCAGACAGCCAGACAGCCAGACAGCCAGACAGACAGACAGACAGACAGACAGACAGACAGACAAACAGACAAACAGACAAACAGACAGACAGACAGACAGACAGACAGACAGACAGACAGACAGACAGATAGACAGACAGACAGACAGACAGACAGACAGACAGACAGACAGACGTGATGGTACACAGACGTTTTTGCATTACACATAACATCTATTGTCATGTCTGGTTCTTTCTGCCAGTATCCCAAGCCTTCCTAAGGACCAACTTCCTGCGTCGCGATGTCTTTCGGCGGTCGCGCTCTTACAGAGATGCCCAGGTCCAACACCTTCCCCGACACTAGACCCGGAAGCCTATAGCCTATAGCCCGTATTTTAAAGTCTAAGCCCTAAACCCTATAGCCCGTTTTCTAAAGTCTAAACCATAAGCCCTGAACCCAAACTCCCTCAACCAGAAGCCGGCACTGGTAGAGCCTTTAACGCTCGGCGTCGGAAGCGCACATCCGACACCTCGAGCCTGCTTTGTCCCCTGAAGCCCAAAACTCGAAAACGTAAACCAGAAACCCTCGGTTTAGGGTTTAGGGTTTAGGGTTTAGGGTATATCTGTCTGTCTATCTATCTACCCATCTACCTTTCTACCTATCTGTGTATCTGTCTATCTGTCTGTCTAGATATACATATATATATATATATACACATGTATCAGAAGCTCCTAGGCACAGCCTTTGCACCCAAACAACAAAGACAATTCAAGCAAGCCCTTACGAGTTGCCGCTGAATCGGCTCGTTTGCTACAGCCTTTTGCTACAGCCCTGCTGAAGTGGATGTCTTAGTTGGAAGCCCCATGTGGAAAAAGCCCAACTCTACTCCTTCAAAGAACAGTACAACAACCATGTCAGCATCAATAAGAAGATGAAGGGTTTAGGGTTTAGGGGTTTAGGGCTTAGGGTTTAGACTTATGGCAGCAATCATCGACGTTGTGCTGATTGGAATCTCTGCCTGGCCGAGGTTCTTTCTGACTGCACCTGCTGGCCAGGAGGGCTTCTGCTGTCTGTCGAAGCGGCAGAATGGTGGCCTCCTGCGTTTGACCTTTGGGTAGTTCTCTAAATTAGGGCCCCTTTTAGGGTCGTTTGTATAAGGGTGCCGTACTATGTTGGGGGACCTAAAAGGGGGACCCTAATTTAGAGAACTACCCATATTCCCTGAAGCGGATAGGCCGACTTCCGGGATCTTTGGCCTGCATCATCTCGCAGTAGCCTATATACTTGGGTACCTGCACCCGCAGGAAAGCTGGAGACTACATTCTAGTATATTGGATTCCATTCTGTAGCATTCTATTATTGTCTTCTGTTCGATGATAGTAAAACCCTGAGCTTGGACCAAAAGCGATCCTTGCAGGATTACTTCAAGCAGTCGACAACGCGTCTGTTCTTCATTGCAGACAAGCGTCCCGGCAAAAGATGCTTTTGAGACCGAAGGTTCAGGTTGCGGTACTGTGAAAGCCAAGACCCTGCCAAAGTTTAAGCCCCCAGCAATTCGAACCCACAGCCATTTGCAGAGTAGAGACTCGAAAGCATTCTCCACACCTAAATCCGGAAGCCACCTAAAGCCCCCTACGCACCAGACTCTGGAGCACTCCCCCATTGCAGGCCGGTACACCTTGAACCCTCAACTCCTCAAAGCCTAAGCTCTTGACCCTCAAACCTTGTAGCCGCTTGTAGCCCCACTAACTTGAGCCCTAAATGCCTCACATTTTCCACCCCAAGAAATCCAAACCCAAGCCCCAAAGCCCCGAAATCCTAAACCCTAAAACCCGAAACCCGAAACCCCAAAACCCCAAAACCCTAAACCCTAAACCCGAAACCCCAAACCCGAAACCCAAAACCCGAAACCCGAAACCCCCAAAGCCCTAACACCCAAAACCCCAAAACCCCAAAGCCCTAAACCCGAAACCCAAAACCCCAAAAAACCCTAAACCCGAAACCCTAAACCCGATATCCGAAGAAACCCCAAACCCCAAACCCCAAAACCCCAAAGCCCTGAATGGCCCCAGGGTCTTCGCCATGACTGTGGACATGTTCAACTCGCCCAGATCCTTGGTCAAAGCGGGCTTGGGGTTTAGGGTTTAGGGTTTAGGGTTTTTTTGGTTTAGGGTTTAGGGTTAAGGTTTTTGGTTTTGGGTTTAGGGTTTAGTAAACCCCTTTCCTTCCTAAAACGGGGGCCCAGGATCCATGGTCGAAGATATCTCTGCCTTGGGTCTCCGCCGCTCGGACAGCTTTTCGGAGGGGGGGCGGGGGTTTAGGGTTTAGTGTTGAGGGGGGGGCGGGTTGGGGCTTTGGGATTCATTGCAAGGGCCAGTGTGTGGCACCACCTAGTCCTTGTATTAGGACTTCAACCCATCATTTTGCTTGAAAGGGCGTTTGTGTTCTGAGGCTGCATGCATCACGGGTTCCTTTCGTGACCCCTCCATTATAAGGAGGCCGGTGATCGAACTTTCATGAAGGGTCGATGTCTGTTTGTATGGACGGTAGTTGCAAGTTACAAGTTCATCTTCACTTCTGCTCGCGGAAGAGGGAGAATGGCATCGCCTTGAGGCCTTCAGTCTCGGTCTTGCGTCCTTCTTCCCTTCTGCCCTAGATCCAGATAGCCGAAAACCCCAAAAACCCTAAAACAAAAAGATCCCCTAAGCCCTAGATCCCAGGCCTAGTCGCATTGACTTTCTGTTGCGCAGCTGTTAAAAAGGGCCCGGTTCAAAAACAAACAAAGATCCCTAAACCCTAAACCCCTAAAGCCCTAAACCCTAAACCCTAAACCCCAAACCCTAAACCCCAGGCCATGTGGGCTATGCCATCCCAACAGAGCTCTTTCCCCCTTTCGTCTCTTCGGCCGTGGATGTCGTGCGCTCCATCACCACGGAGAGCTCAGGGCTTTTCTCGGGTTGCTTCGGGTAGCGAACTACTTCAGGGCTTAGCGAATTGAGGGTTTGCGGTATCTGTATGGGAGTTTGGGTTTAGGGCTTCAGGTTCGGATTTAGGGGTTTAGGGATTTAGGCTTCAAGGTTTTTGTGTTCAGGGTTTAGGGAATTGGGTGGCCTTTTTTTGGAATTTAAGATCATCGCGATGTTGCTAGGTTTAGACTTCCCCCAGGGTCTGCGGGCTTGTGGTCATGTGATGCTGATGATGATGCTGGTGGTGATGATGCTGCTGATGATGACCATGTTTGACGGTGATGACATGTTGCTGTTGAGGCACACCACGGCAAGACGTGAGTTACGGTGATCAACTGTCGGCATATTTGCGCACGTGCATGTGGCAATGACTGCGATGTTTGCCATGGCCCGTCAGTCACCGTTGTTGTCGTCTTGGTTCGAAGACGATGAAAGGGCTGTCGTGAGACATCACAGGTTTGGGCGCATAGGCCCCTTCAGTGGAGCCATGGATGCTACCAACAATGATGGCGACCATGGCAATGTTCTTACTTAGTAATGATCTTAGCAATGCAAAGTATTGACCATCTTTTCTCGACGACGCTTCTGAAGACGACCTCGAACATGGGCATTCGGCTGCAGACCTGATACATGACCCTGAGGTTATCTAGAACAGTTCGTTTCGGCGTTCGTACTGTTTGGATTGTTAGACGTGTTTGCACTTGCTAAACCACAGCTCGGGCTTGTCCAGTCCCATACTCCTCTACTTGTGCTTTGCATCCGGGTTCATATGAGAAACGAAGTGATTACCGCTTGCTTCGGTGCCCTCGCCGGGTACCTTGTTATTTAACAGGAGGTGGAGACTGTTGATGATTGTGTGAATGCCGCTTTTGCCGCGGCTGGAGACTGTTGCTGATTTTGTGAATGCCGCTTTTGCTGCGGCTGTGGCTATGGACATGCTGTCAAACCTGCTGCCGAAGGTGTTGCCTACCTTTTCTTGACCCGTTTTTCCTGTGTGGAGCTCTTTCATAGCCCTGAAGCCCCAAACCCTAAACCCGAAAGCCTCAACCCTAAAACTTGGTTCCCCAATACCCAACCTTCAAACTTGTTAGGTTCTTATAACTTAGTAGTAATCTGAAAGTTTAACCTTTTATTTCCCTGGCTTATTGGCGAAGTAAGAAAACCTAAACCCTAAACTGACCCTCCAAGCCCGCAGAACGACATGGCGGAGAGCGCCTTCCGATGGTCGCTGACCCTGGTGTCGAAGATCCTGGTTCGGACCATCTTGGAAGGTGCGATTAGGGTTTTTTTGGGGTGGGTATTAGGGGTTCAGGATTCAGGGTTTAAGTTTAGGGTTTTGGGGTTTTAGGGTTTAGTTAGGGTTTCGGGCTTCGCGTATTTTGGGGCTTTAGGGGTTTGGGGTTTAGGAGTTCAGGATTTATGGTCTAAGTTTAGGGTTTTTTGGGGCTTTGGGTGTTTGGGGTTTAGGTTTTTTGGGGGCTTTAGGGGCTTAACGCTAGAAGGTATAAGGTTTTCGGGTTTGGGGTCTTACAATCTTAGAAGGCCCGCTTCGTAGTGGAGTAGGGAACCTGTAACCTTTTCTTTTGGGGGCTATTGTAATCCCAGTACATTCCCAAAGGTTAATCTATCCCCTAGAATACTGGACAAGTAGGCCGAAGTCTTCACTTTGCTAATGTTTCCACTTCGAGCACCTCTATTGAGGTGCAAGCGCTGCGGTTCTGCTGCGGATTTCTCTGGATGCTTAGTACAGTCGTTCATATGACTTGTGACTGTTCCAGCGGTAGCCAGGAGCCTGCTTGTTCTTGCGTGGCTTTGGCGAAGGAAGCTGATTCGGAAGCTGTGGAGTCGTTGCAGTTCTTTCTTTGAGGTTTCGAGTTCTTCTATCCCCACATACATGTAGCTGCTCTTCCTTCTGGCCCTAAACTTACCCTAAACCCTAAACCCTAAACCCTAAACAACAAGACCCGTGACAGGGTCCACGATTGTGATGAAAGCGGTGAACACCAACTCGGAGAAGGCTTCGCATTCGCTTTCCTAGCTTGACCGTCCGGAGTCAAGACACTACATCCTCAAGAGTGTCCAAATCAATATAGTATTTTATAAAGTCTACTATAACAAACTATAACATACTAGTATAGGACATTATAGTTTATTGTATCCTGAACCCTACAACCCCGTCAGGGGCCCGCCTTAGCTACTCCTCCGTTCCTTCACCGCGGGCCTCCTTGAAAACCCCACGCCTTCCACTCCCACCTCCGTAAATATAGGGGCCTTAGTTCTTACCTATACTATTTTGGGGGTTCCTTATTCTAATTACAGTATAAGGAACCCCCAAAACCCTACTTTAGGGGGTTCCTTACTATCATAATTATAGTTTAAAGGAACCCCCAAAAACCTATTCTAATTATTAAGGTGTCTTAGAGTCTCAGGCTTTAGGGGTTTACATAGGATTTAGGGCTGGGTTTAGGCATCAATCTCAGGCCTTGCGCCGTGCAATCTCTGTTGCACCCCGCGGGCGGCGGGCACAGGAGCTCCTTGAGATTTCAGCATCCCGGCTTTTGTCCTTCTTTACGGAGTATGGCATGCTTTCACTATCGTATGTCTTGTTTTTTTGGGCCGGGTTTTCTTAGTATGGCAGATTTGGGGAAATGGGCGGTCTGGCAGCCGGGGTGCTGTTACGAAACCTGGGCTTTCGGTTCAGGGCTTGGGGTTTGGCAGGGATGCCAGCGGCCGAGCGATTTATGGTCAACGGTGTTTCTCTGTTTGAGAATGTTGCTACTCCGACGGGGGGAGCTCTCGTTTCAGCCAATAAGGCGCCGCCAGGATGCCACCGATCGGAATGATATAACATAGGCTTCCGGATACTTCGTATGGGTATCCTCCTAAACCCTAAACCCTAAACCTTAAACCGGCCTATACTATAGTCCTCAAAAACCATGTAGCATAATACGCCCCTCTCAGTCTTAAGGTCCCCCCCCATAATATGACCCTGATAAAAGTCCTATAGACCCCTTCAGAGAATCCTTAAAGGAACACTATAAGAACCTCCAACTCTAATAACCCTAAACTTTAATAACCCTAAACCCTAAACCCTAAACCTTAAACCGAAGCCCAATCGTGGAACACTGCAAAAGCAGCAGGGGAGTCTTGTCCCGGAGGCTCCTTCGCCACTCCTCAACGTCTAAAGCTTCGAGGAGGAACCGAAGCCCGAACCTGTATGTGGAAACACATATATATATATACATATATATATATATATATTTCTGCACACA